TATATATATATATATATATATATGAGGTGTACATACACACCAATGTGCGCATGCATAAAAATAAATTTTTATGTCGCTGCCGTTCTGAATTTGTTTTTTTAGTGCAGCAATAAAAACAACAACAAAGATAGTTGCTGCTGCTGACGCTGCTGCTGCTGCTGCTGCTGCTGCTGCTGCTGTGTCGTGCTGCTGATGCTGCTGCTGCAGCAGATTGCTGCTGCAGCACATTCAGATGCTGCTGAGCTGCTGTGGAGACCGCATGCAGCAGCAGCAGCAGCAGCAGCAGCTGCAGCAGCGAGAGCAGCACAGCAGCAGCTGCAGCAGCAGCAAAAGCAGCTGCTGCTGTTGCTGCTGTGTGGCAGCACCAGCTGCAGCAGCAGTTAAACTTTGCTGCCCTGGTGCTGCAGCAGCAGCTGCAGCAGTAGCAGCAGCTGCAGCAGCAGAAGCTGCAGCAGCAGCTGCAGCAGCTGTCTCTTAGTCCTGTAACAACCAAACCTGCAGCAGCAACAGCAGCAGCAGCAACAGCAGCAGCAAAACTGATCCTAAACCCTAAAAAACCCTAATAACCCCGACCAAACCCTACTACTAAACCCTACTACTGAGCCACTCTAAACCCTAAACCCTAGTAAACCCTAAACCCTCATAAACCCTCATAAACCCTCATAAACCCTTCTCCTTCCCTGCATGTGTTTGAGTACGAAATCTTCTCCTAAACCCTATTCCTCCCCCCTCCTCCCCCCTCCCAAACCCTAAACCCTCATAAACCCTCATAAACCCTAAACCCTCATAAACCCTTCCCCCCACCTGTAAATTTTTGAGTATAAAATCCTGATTCGAGGCCAATGGTGGTGAGTTGAAAGTGCTGCAGCATTGCGAGCTGCCTCTTAAGAAATCTCCATCTATAGTTAATGCATATTTACCGCCACCACCAACAGCTATTGTTTCCCCATCAGTAAAACAAAAAAAAGCGTTGCTGCTGCTCCATGTATATACGTGGATTGTCTAGGGTTTAGTAGGGTTTAGGGTTTAGGGTTTAGGGGTTAGGGGTTAGGGTTTAGAGGGGGAAAGGGGGAGGGGTTAGGGTTTAGGGTTTGCAGGGGGAGGGGTAGGGAGGGGAGGGTTTAGGGTTTATGCGGGGAGAAGGGAGGGTTTAGGGTTTATGGGGGGAGAGGGATTAGGGTTTAGGGTTTATGGGGGGAGGGGGGA